ACTCCCCACCCCACCTCAAGGCTGTGCGCTAGCATCTCCCTCGGTGTGTCTGCCCCCCGGGCTCAAGGAGACCGCCCTTGGGGGATCCCCTAATCCCAAATGCACCCCAAGGGATGTGCACCAATGCCTTTCCCTGGTCCCCCACACCCCACCCAGGACCTGACCTCGCCTCTCCCCATCTCCCCCTCCCCCATTCTCCTGGGATGCTCCTTGCTCTTCTCCGTACCTAGAAGCTGTAAGCATCTCCCTCCCTTGGTAATGACCTGGGTCCCCATCTCTGGCCCTCCTAGTGACCTCACAGCCCTTTGCCCCCCAAGACTCAGGACCACCCGCAACGATTTGTTGGGGGGGTGCTGATCCCTTCCACTCACCCCAGCTTCCCCCACCCTGCAGATGATGTGCTGCCCATATTTGCCTACCCACACAAGCTGGGCAAGTCGGTCACTGGCGGCTACGTATACCGGGGCTGCGAGTACCCCAACCTGAACGGCCTCTACATTTTCGGCGATTTCATGAGCGGGTGAGTGGCCTGACAGCCGTTCTGGAAGGCAGGGAGAGCAAATGAGGGACCCTAACACTTCCCTGGGGGGCCAGGACCTGTCCCTGCACCAGCTGGCCAGGGCCCCGGGTGCATTGGTCCAGGAGAGGCCAGAGAGGCTGCCCTGCTGGGGAGAGGGGAGCTGGGGCTCCAGCCCAGGCCTGACCACGGGGGCCCCTGGAGCCTTGTTCCCCGATTCCCACACTCTTGGGTGGCTGGGCGCCTCCCTGGGGGGCAGAGCATACTCCATACCTGCTGTGGGTCAGACTCCTTCCCCAGAGGAGCTTTGGGGCCTCATGACCACCTCGCTCTCCCATTGTACAGAGGAGAACACTGAGGCCCAGCGAGGCCCAGGGCAGGGATGCACCTGGCATGATGCCTGAAAGTGCAGCTGAGGTGGCCTGGGTCCCATCCTGCCCCCTATTAGCCATGTGACTGCCTTCTCTCAGCTTCAGTTTCCTCATCTGCAAAGTGGAGATGATGGTAGCAGCTGCCTCCAAGGTTGTCTGAGGACTGAGTCCGTTAGTACATGCACACACTTAGCATTGAGTGCACGCTCAGCATCTGGTAGCTATTGCTTATCCCCACTCGAGCCAGTGCACCGAGGGCAGCTGTTGCTCAGGAGAGTGAGGCGTTAAGGAGCCTGAGACTGGAGGAGAATGCTCACCTCTGCAGGCTGCTGAGCTGGGCGTGTCTGCAGCTGGAGCTGAGAGAGAGCCTCTGGGTGCTGGATCCTTTTATCAGCTCCGCCCCTTCCTTGGGGTCTGCCTCTGGGACTCAATTATCCCATCTGGAAAGTGGGTCTAAATGAAGCCTCAGCTTTTACCCCAATTCTCCTATCTCCTAAGTCACCTGACTGCAGAAATTTAACTAATTTTGCCTCCCTTTCCCAAGCCCATCTGCTGGGCCAGGCTTTGTGCCAGGGCCAGAGAGAACAACAGAGTTGAAGAGTACCTGACACCCAAGTCAGGGAGACAGACACTCGGTCCACTCTAGTTTGCCTCAGAGTGCTGGAGAAGCCCCAAGGTGGAGGCATTCAGGAGGGCTTCCCGGAGGAGGGGGCAGCGAACAGGGCCTGGGAGTATCAGTAGGTAATTGACAGGCGGGGAAGGGAGTAAGGGGCCAGAGCAGCATATTCTGAAGGTGCCCAGGTTCCATCTTGAGCACCGAAGTGGAGGCAGCTCCAAAGTGTGTGCTCACTCCTGGCACCAGCCTCGCAGAGCTCTGCCGTCCCAGTCAGCTCCTGACTGCCTCCTGGTGGTCACTGGGCGGGGGTGGCCTGAGGGGGCAGGAACCAAGCTGGTCTTTGGTCTCTGTGTGCCCCCCCTTCATGCTTCTCTGGTACATAGTAGGTGCTCAGTAAAGACTTCATGCAGGGCAGGCTTCATGGAAGTGAAGGGCCCACACTTGGCTTAATGCTCTGCTGTCTCACTGTCTTGAAATTCTTAACCCTTTTAGAACAAGGGGCCCTGCACGCTCTGTTTGCACCGGACCCTCCAGTTGTGTGTGGTCCTGGTTGTGTTGGGGGCGGCAAGAACGACTCCAGGTGTTAGACCAGTGGGGTCAGACCCGCCCTGGGTTCAGCAGCCTCTAGCTAGGAAAGAATTCAGAGCCAAGACGCAAACTATAAGAGAACATTCATTTGGAAAATCACCGAGGTAGAAGAAATTTGTAGAAGAAATGGACTTAGGAACAAGTTACAGAGACAAAGGAAGGGCCCTTGGAGTTTAGAAGTGAGGAAGGTACTGCTGAGGCTCCTGGGGGGACGGGAGGGAGGGAGGGAAAGGCAGGGCGTGCTCCCAGCAGGAAGAGCCTGCTGGGTCCTCTGTCCTAAGGGTGTTAAGGGTGAGGGCTTTAGGGGCGGTCCCAGGGGAAGATCTCAATAGAATATTCATCAGCTTCCCAGGGGCGTCCTTTCAGGCCTCCACTGATTGACTGGTCGGAGCCAGGGCAGGGGGTCATTATTCAGTGCAGCTGGTCCCGAGGTCCGCTGTGGTGTTGCTTGTCTGGTTTTGCTGCTTTTCTGGGCCTGGAGCTGAAATACAGCTGAGCCTAGTATCTCTAGGGAGGAAAGGTCAGGGGTCCAAACCGCAGGAGCAGCGATATGCTAGGGAGGGGAGGTCACCCTGGGGGTGCGGTCCCACCCTACACTTGCCCGTTGCTAGGCACCCAGGGCTTTCCATCCTGGTGACCGTCTGTACCCGGCCCACCGTCCTTGCTCTGCTCATGTCTGGCTAACTGCTCACCACAGTTGCATGGGTAACAGATGAGTGTGGGG